CCCAGGTGGCTAATCTGACATTAATTCTCATGAAAGCTCTGCAACAGAATAGTTCAAAACTGGAGTAATTCCACACAAGGAGGACAGACATTTGCAGAGCTTTGTATAAACTTTGCTCAACCCATTTCCAGAAAGGCTTTTGCATATTTAAGAATTATTCTAGCAAGAGTTTCTAGAAATACTTTCTGAAGGGCACATTTCTAGTTCATAGCAAGCCACCTGAACCAAACTTTAAAAGTCGCTATAACTGGGACAAGGATAGAGACGTCCCTCACAAAACAAGCTAGCTGGAACAACTACACAGAACAATCATTGTGACCAGTGGTCTGTCTGATGGATGGATGTAAACAGACACTCCCAGTTTTGGACTGGAATGTTTGGAACTAGAGAAAATGCTCTTTCTAGGTAACACTCTTCATTTCTCCCTATTTTACATCCCCTGGGATGTACATTTTATAGAGCTGGAGGGATTACCTTACCACCAGGCCTTTCAAGTTTTTCTTAAAATGGATAAAATTTTACAATTCTTTTCTTTCCACAATATAGTACATTTTTTTGAAAGAATTCTTCGGGTAGTTGCACAATAAAATCCCAGGCTGGCTGGAAATGGGAGAGAACACATTCAAGAGGCTGAGGAGGCTAACAGGATCAGGTAACTGTGTGGAGACAAAAAGTTTGCTTGCAGCTAATCTGTGCTTTTTTTTTCTTTCTTTTTAATGGATTTCTAAGTCCAGTCAAGAACTAGAGAGATCACAATTATGGACAATTAATATAGCTTCCAAGAATACAGAGTGTGCAAATTATTTCTATCCAACCTTATAAACACGAGCACCGTTTTACTGTAAACTTGTCTTTTACTATGTACAGATTCTGCAGTCATAGTGCATACAGAACAAATCTAACTAAACTGATTAGTAATCATTTATGCTGATTAAAATCAGCTCATAAGCTAGTAAAACTTTTTAAAGGGTGACAGACCTGTGCTTGGTACAGAATGCAGTGCCAAGGTATACATCAGCAGCAAACAATTAGCAGGTCCAACCTCCTCTGCTTTAGAAGCATTTAAAGCAGAAGGTTCTACATCAGTCTATTAACTTCATACATTGACACTTAACTGCCGATTATCCAGTGTCTCCTAATAATAAAGTTTCATATCTGTTTTGTTCTTACTCTACCATCAACAGGTCTGGATAAAAATTAAGTGTTCCCATTTTAAAGTTTGCACTGAACAGTCTGAAAACCAGTTTTTGACATGGCAGAATCTGCCTGCTCACTACAGTTTATATCAATCTACAGTCCTGCCTACAAACCTACGCAAACTTCTAGAAATATTAGCTTTTCTCAGAGCTGCCAGGGCACCAGTTTTGTAGCTCTCAAATTATGAAGTTCAAGGTCCACTCTAAGGTAATTCAGCAAGATTCCAGGATTTCATTTCTTCTGTGTTGCTGTTACCTAATACCATACAAAATAAATAGAATTCAAGTATCACATAAGTATTATCTATGACTATTAAAAGCTTGCACTTCAGATAAACCACGCTATCTATAGGAAATGTTTCCATCTTCTACTAACTCTCTCTTATACAAAGAACTTTCCTTTATGATACAGAAGCCTGTTAGTGAAACTAGTCATATTGTCACTTTATTCTCCAAGGAAAAAACAGTAAAACAGCTAGTTATCACGATTTATTTGTAAACTGTTGTGTGCATCGTGACCCTGAATTCCATTTGATATTTTGGTAAAGGGAAACAAAGCATGGATTCACTTTTATTTCTTATTTGACCAAAGCAAATTGTGGCCTAGAGATGTCTATATACATTTGTATTTGTTTATGTGTACTTTGTCTTGTTAAACTTTAAAATACTCTGCCTGGCACAGTCAGGTTTTACTCCTGGGCAGACAGGCCTTTAAGCATTACTAAAACACATACAGTCTTAACGAACATAATTTTCCAAAATGTTGAAATACAGAATCTCTCAACTACAAGTAAAACATTAAGTACGAAAATGAAATACAACTGAGTTGAAATTTGAAAAGCAAATGTTACAGAAATATTGTTTTAAAAGTACCTAAACCATTAGAAACATCCATTAAACTTGGAAAATATTTTTGATGCTCTCTGGCAAGCCATACAATGCTGCAATATAAGAACTGTAATAAAACATACATTCATTAGAAGACACAAAAATATGTCAAACATATCATTTGCCAGAGTAAAAATTGTGGCACTCCCAAAAATGAAGGTTTTACAAGCTTCAACTTAAAGCCATTTCAAACTATTTTCATTTCCATAATGATTTTCCTATTAAAAGCCTTACACCTTCTTCCAATGTTAATTTTGTTCATTTAATTTAAGTCCATGGTTTCACTAATCTCTTTTGATGCTGAGCTCCCTAAGACTAGGGGGAGGGAGGTGCTGAATCACAGCAAATGTTTATATTTCCTCCCAGAATATATCATTGAACCAGCTTGAATACTTCATAAATAAGACTGTGAGATCATAACAGTCAAACACAAATCTGTTTTTATAATCTATAACATATTTGTAGCAATTAAAATAGTTGACCACATCAACATTTTAACCTAAAGAACCATTAGGAATGTACGCAATTTCTAATGAGTATTTTTGAGCTCTCCACAGAAAAAACTCCATCTTCAAGCAATTCCTGTCACCTCCTAATTATTGATTTGCAGTTTATTAGTCAGCAGATTTTTCATCATTATTTAAATAAAAAGCAAAACTTCTGGTTTCAAAATCTCCTACCTCCCCCAGTGTAATCACGTACCATTACCCATCATTCATTCAGCAAAGGCTATTCAATTCTATCATCATTTGTCTTTAATAAAAACCAAAGATTTCTCCAGAATTACTGAAATAGTTCATGTAGTGGACAAGAGGCTGTTTTAGGGCTCAAAGAACAGAACAGCTGAAAACTATGAATTAAATTAATATTTCTACACGTTCAGAGAGGATCCAAAGGGAGAAGATTGCTTGTATTACTGGATTCTGCATACTTGAATATCAAAACTTACAATTACTGGTCCTTTTATCTATACCAAGGAGACACCTTTTTTTCATTTATTTCTTTTATAAAATCAAGATCTATGAAAACAGGAAACTTCCACTGGATCCCAAATATTTCATTTCATGTGTGTACGTCAAATGGCTGTGTGTTCTCTCTGTGAAACAGAGCAATGTAATTTCAGGCTGTATAATTTTATAGCAAAGACTACAAGACGCTTTGAAGATGTCATTGACTGTAATACAAATCAATATTAAATTATCTGTACAGGAAACATTTTCAAAAGATGGTCCACCATGCTTTCTCATAGGATCATGGATTTCTAGGATCATTCTCTAGTAACTACTGTAAGCTATTACAGTTTATCTCCCTCTTTAATTATTTACAGGTCAAAACAGCCAAACGACATTGCTTTGTATATATTCCATGTTATGTACTTGGTTCGTAACTCTATTGCCACACAAAACCATGAAGGTAAAAGCTGCTGAATAAAGACATTTGTTTCATTTGAGAATATGTATATAGTCATAAAGCTAAGTGATGGAAAAGGCTGTCCTTTAGGCATTCTACCTTTCTTCAAAATTCATTCAAAATATATATGTAAACAGTACTGAAGTGATTGCTCTGCAGCACAATCTTTAAATGGCTATAGTCTGTACTATTTAGCCTGATGTTGATTAGACATTTAAGAGATTAGTAATTTCAAATCACCTAAAGACCTTCATCACATTTCTATCAATTTATGTGAACGCGCATTTCAAAGCCTCCTCATTGCTGCCTTGTAAAACGTCTCATGACCGTCAAACTGAATTTATTTTTCAGCCAAGCAGTAAAAAATACGTTTCACAATACAGTAACACAAACACAATAAAAAGAAGAGCCTATCAAGTGTGCAGATAAAGGGAAGGGAATTCTTGTCCTGTCACTGTCAAAAAGGCAAGATGCTTTAATAGGAAAAAAAAAAAATCACAACCAAACCCCACACCACGGTTATAACCTCTAAAAAAAGTTCACACATTGAAGCCTCATATGGGTCTGTTTTGATTTGTGAGGAGTGACACTGGTGGTTGGAAAGGCTTATGCTAAATGTTCCAGACAGCTGATGCAACCACCTCTGCATCTGCCAGTTTGCAGCATGATGCTTCTAGAGCAGTGGGGCTGGCTGCCCTTACAGACTTGAAGGAGAAAGGAAAAAAAGGTGGAGATCCACCACCACAAGAACTGCTAACATCAATATTCCTGCAAACACCGCCTACCCGCGTACAACATTAACCATCAGGAGCTGGACCCTTAATGCGTTTTTTAATCCAGTTCGAAAACTGCGAGGTGGCAGCTCACAAAGGTCCAACTCCACAGACAATGAGTATCCACCCGAGTCCAGCAGCTTCCCCAGTGCCCGTATTTAATTGGAATTACAGCCATCCCCATCGCAGCAGCAAGCATGCCCTGCCACCCCTCGGGATGTCACAGCACCCCCACCCCAGGGTGGCTGAAGGACGGCCATGGCAGACTCAGCCGGGCCCTGCCGCCTAAACTTCGGGTCCTCTCCCTGCGTTCCAGGGGGGCTGCACTGGGCGAAGGCAGCGGGAGCGGGGCCCGCAGCGCTCCACTCTGTGGCGGGGTGGCCGAGGACGTGGTTGGGAAGGAGGAGACAGGCGGAGAGCCCCGGGGAAGAGGAGGGACCGCCGGCGGGAGGGGGAAGGCGAGAGGGAAGGAGTCAGGTCGGAGATGGCACAGTCGGGAGCGAGGGGAAGGGGTGGGAGCCCGGCGGGGGCTCCCGGAGGCTTTCCCGGGGCGCCGGCGGGCGGCAGGAAGGGGCTGCCGGCTCTTTCCTGTCTCCGTCCCCCGGTGCAACCTGACCGCCTCCCGCGGGCCGTTCCCCAGCCGCGGAGCCCCCGCCCGGGTTCGGCCCTGGCCGGCCGCCCGGAGCGGGGCCAGCCCCAGACGCGCCGCGCCGCCCGGCGTGCCGGACCCTACCTTCGCCTGCAGATACTGGGGGTAGTAGTAGGTGGTGTACTGGGGGTACATCTGCTGTTTCCACACTTTGCCCATGAAGCTGGAAATGTAGCCTGCAGTGCAGGGATGGGGGGATACTCTGGGGGGCTCCAGCCGCCTCTCCGTCTCTCTCTCTCCCTCCTGCCTCTTCCTCTCCGGTGGCGGCGGCGGCGGCTCCTGCTCCTCGGCCGAGCCCAGACCTTCCTCCTCCTCCACCCAAAAAGCCACAGCGGAGCGGTGGCGGGGGCAGGCACTCTCGCTCTCTCCCCGGGAGTTCCTGCCAAGTCCCCGCCCGGCCGGGCCGAGCAGGAGCAGCAGCGGCAGCGGAGCGGCGGCGCAGGGAGCGCTCGGGGCCGGCGCGGCAGCGGCGGCGGTGCCGGGCGGCGGGGCAGGGCTGGCGGAGGGGCGGGGGGAGAGGGGGCGAGGGGAGGCGCTTAGCCCCTCTGGGAGCCCGGGGCGAGTTTCAGCCCCGGCCCGGTGTCGGGGTAGCTGCGTTGGGTCGGGTTGCTGCTCGGCTCAAGGGCCGCTCCAGCAGCGGCAGGAGCTGCGGTGCCCGGCAGGAGCGGAGCGGGGGGTTTCCACGTTCTGGAGAAGGAGAAGGAGGACTGCAGTGGCCGCATCGCGCCCGGCTCGGCTCTGACCTAATTAGCCGGGTTGTGCTTTGTTATCGTCTTCGCTCTTTGTGCATCTCGCTGCCGAGCACTGGTGCAGGACGCAGGCTGGAAGGGAGAATTGAGTACGTTTTGGAAAACCAAATTTGGCTTCGGTTCTGCCTGGCGGTACAGGGTCCATTTATCTGCTGGGAGCAAAAGGGACTGCAGTGCTAAAATCGGTTTACAGAGCAGCAACCACAAAACCAGACCAAATTCTCTGTCTGGCCCATTGCACATTCTTAAATTTGTACTTTAGCCAGCAGTGCTGAGTACACTTCATTCTGAAACAGGAAACATCCCTGTTCTAGTCAATAGTAGTTATATTTTTTCACTTGAATGTTTTCTGTCTGAAAGCTAATTTCCCAAACATTAGAAGTGGGGACTGGCAGCACACTATAGTCCACTGTTGTTTGTAAAAAACCAACTTAGTCCACTGGTTTACCTCTGACAAATCCATCTCTTTTCAACCAAAGATAAACTGATCCTCAGAGCATTAGGCAGATGCCGTTTCTTTGTCACACTAATCACAATCATTTTTGTCTTGCAGCATTGTTTGATTAATAAAACATGTACATAAGGTCAACAAAAACTCCTGAGTCTATTAGTATCAGCCAACTAAATGTGATAATAGTGGAAAGAAAGATTAAAAACCTCAAGGATGTACAAGCATCCTAGAGCGATAGCAAAGGCAGCTTTTGTGCAGCCATGAATCCCTAGTGCAGCCTGAGCAATGAGAGGTAACTGCAGATATTCTTCCAAATTCCAGCTGAGCAGAGGACAATTACGCAAATGACATTGCAGCTCTCCTGGCCAGCCATTAAGATCGCTTTAAAAGTTTTTTTTCCAGGGAAGAAAGTTGTAAGCACTTTATGGTCCACGCATAAGAAACTAGTTGCATCTTTAGGAAAAGGCTTTTTCTTCAGGAAAGGCATGGGAGCTTTTGAATTTTGGTTAGGTTTAGGTGGTTTTTTTGGTTTTGTTTTGGGGTTTGATTGTTTTTTGTTTTGTGTGGGGTTTTTTTTGGTTGTTGTTGTTAACACAGGGCTAGAATGACTTTGAAAAGAAGGATGAACACAGAAAGCATGCAAGTTGGTAACGTTTTTGTGCCCACAATGGTAATTTTCTGTGGGAGGGACAAAGAATAAACTTAGAGAAAACTTGAGCAGAACAGAAATATCAGGTATTTGAGGGGGTTAAGAATGTGTATCTAGAGAAGCTGAAATGGCCTTGATCAAAATCAGCTGTCCTCTGTTTGGTGGCATTTATGCAGTGAAAAAAGCATACAGGCTGCAATTATCTCTAAACCATGTGAGGTAATATGGTAATATATTTCCAAGGTAGTGCATGGTCAGAGGATAGCAGAAATGAAGTTTCAGAGCTTCATGGGGAAATGTGTTGCTACAGCCCAGATACGTGAGGATACTGTTATAGACTGCTTTGAGAACTGCCAGATTGTGGTCTGAAGTTCTTGGTTGAACTACAAAGAATGTAGTGCTGGCCTCTCATAAGCTGACAGGTTTCGGGTGCCAGTACACTTAGTCTCCTTCTGACAAAAACAGAATAAGCAAGAAGAAGAAATAAAGACTGGTAAATGATGAATGCATTTTGTGGGGATTCTCCTGAGGAGAAGGAAAGAATGAGATCTGAAAGAAAACATATTATACTGAAGCCATCTGGAAATAGAAGAGTGTTTTTCTAGAATCCCTCTTCATGTAAACAGCAACTGTGGTTGTCACAAGTACATTGTGTAATCCTGAATAAGGAGAGAAGCATCCAGAAGAAAAAAAATCTTTAGGAAATCAGGAGAAATGCAGCCTATATCACTCCAGCCTTTACAACTGCAACAGTCTCCAGCTTAGTTGTGTCAAGTTACTGAGAATGGCTGATGGCTGCCAGCAAGAGGAGCAGCAATACACTCTGCCACAACGGCTCCTGAAAGTGATGAAAGAAGAAATCTGGCTAAGAGAGTATTTGATTTCAACTGCAACAGCTAAAGCTGATCTCCAAGTTCCTTCCCAGTCTCTCCTTGCAGAGACTTAGAACTTTCTCAAACAAGGTCTTTTGCTCTAAAGCTTAATCTCATCACCAAACCTGTTTCACTGTTAACATAATGATGACACCGATTTGGTTCCATTTTCAACCAGAATATTTTCTAATTAAAGATCTATTTCTGTTGGAATATCTGCTAAGCTGACATTACAGAAGTTCAAAATGTATAGTTTAATATTTATCATTGAATTTAAAAATAAGCCTGCAACTTAATACTGCAAACTTTTACAGTGTAGTGATCCCACTGATGGTTAATGAGAATTTGCAAATAATACTGAGTTTTTATTAAAATGAGGTTAGAAAATGTAATTATTTTATTGGAATCATTTGTATGAGCCTCAGTTACAGAATTTGTTTTCATTTTTTAAAATTATATTTAAGATGCTTACTGTATTAAGAAGGAATCAGTGAAGAATTTTTGGGCCAAAAAAATCAAATTTAGCATCACTCAAGGCAATCTCTGCTTCTGTTTTTTTAATATGTTCATTAGTCAGCCAACTTAGTAATATGAATGCAAGTTGTGCAATACAGACAGGATGGCATTGCAGAAGAAACTTTTAACCAAATTACTAATTTCTTAAGTTTTCATACTAATGGAAAGGTTTGGGTTTAATTGCTTATTCTGTGTTCATTGCAAGGGCAAATAAACACTTTTAAACTGAAACTGTTTGTGCCATCTGGTGGTACTAGCTCTTGTCATCATAACTAAATACTCACAAGGTTAAAAATGCTTCCCCCATTTATGCACCACACGAAGAATAGGATTAAAAAGGAAGGTGTACACTGAAGTATGTTCTGAAAGCGTTTACTCAACAGAGTAAAAAGATGACTTCCTACAAACTGCACTAGGACAAATGTGGATACTGTGGCTTTGTGAATGTTAGGGAAAACAGAAATCCATAATTTTGCTTATGGCCAGAGTTCATTGACTATTGATGGAACTTTATTAAATGCTACATTTTTTTTACACTACTTCTTTATCATAGATATTCTCTGTGGTCAGGAGTGATTAAAATATTATGAAAACACAGTTGGGCTGTTGCTGCAAAAGCCTGAGAAGCACTTTATGTGCTGCCATGTCAGAGGAATTTTAGGGCAACTCAGTTCAGCCCAATCACTAGTTATGCACTGACTCTGTGTTGGAAGAGAAAGACCATTTATGCTTTACAGATTAACTTAGACATTAGAGTTCTACCCTGAGGCAGAAAAAGTCAAATGCAATGCAGAATAGGAGGGAAATCTATTTAAACCATCTCACTTCAGGAACCTAGTGGACTGCTGTACTCTGCACCAGCTGGGATCTTTGCACTGGTTAAGCTGAAAGAGACAGACATGTTTATGCTGCAATCGTTATTATTTTGACACGGTCAGGAATATTTGAACAAGTTTTTTGTTTTTTGTTTTTTTTTTTTTTTTTTTTGTTAAGATACTAACTTGTGTCTTGCGATATCTTTCTTCAAAACCAGATGTACCACAGCATATGGGTGAGAGGGTGAGCAAGTCGCTGAACTACCCTGTGCCTTACTTCCCATTTGCAAACTGTCAAACGTTCACCCAGTTCTTTGCCTGCCTTGTGCGTTCGGTTTGTAGGCAACACAGGGCACCAAAATCACTTGCTAGGAATCTGCCTAGTGCAATTCACGTAAGAGGACTAAAACAAATAGAAGCAGCGGCAGTGCAGCACTTCTGGATGCAGAGAAGCCAAGTACTGCGTCCTAATTCACATACAAATGATAACAAGCCAAGGATCTATTTTACATCCTCAAACTGCATATTAGAGCTACAGAAATGCAGCTAGGTTTAAGTGCTCCACCAGTAACTCCTTTGCTCTTCCCCACGCCCCCTAACACACACTGTTCCAATTACTTGCAAAACCTCCTTGTTGTAATGCCACCCTTAGCCCCGTCATACGGCCTTGACTGCTTTGCAACACAAATGAAAGACTCTTCAATTCAGGTCGCACTAGGCCACACTCAAGCACAAAGGCTAAATAAACGGCCATTGTTAATGGGCCACCAAGATGAAAAGCACTTGATTGTTGCCATCAATTAAATCAACTCTGTGGCTTTAGTGGCTATTAACTCTTTCAGTAAATTCTTAAATATTTATTTCAACAGAGTGACTATAATTCTGTATTTTTACAGTGGCTTTCCTGGTGTAACAACATTTCCCTGGAACACTGCTGAATGTAGTGTGCCCTTGTTTATTCTTACAGCTGAGCCATGCACTGCACCAGCTCAGCTGCTCCTGACAGCTGCAGTCTCTGTAATTCACTTTTGTAAAATCTACAGGGCTATAAACTACTCTAAGATTGTCCAACTGAAGTATTTATCTGGCACTAACATACAAGCATTTAACATGCTTCTGCATTTGGGCTTCCCCTTTCATGGTTTCATGTGCACCAGGCAATGCTCCCATTATTGGCAATGGACATTCACAAAAAATGCCACTGGACTGCTCATGAAAACAGTTTGTGTTTGCAGCTACACACATCACCATGAATTTGGGTACACTGATTGCCAGCAATAACCTTTGTCTTGTGTTTAGATAGGTCTGGGAGAATTCTTTGCCACATAAGCACCTCATTTTCTATATTTTCTATATTCTCCTTTACTCTACCCTATGATGCCCAGCTAATAGAGATGATTGCA